AAAGTTCCAGCTGAAAAAAAGTTTTCATTGTATGTGTGACGCTACAAAAGCGGGAAGCGTGGGAAGGAAAGACGACGACGAACAAAAGCGACATCATTGAGCGAGTGGCTGAACTTTTGGCGGAATGTTGCCGGAAAGTTTATTTCAAGTCGTTTGTAAAGTAGTGGGGTAACATTGAAATCAAGCAGTTCCAGAGACAGGGTGGTTAAGCTATTTACAATTTGATTTTGATACTAAATTTAAGAAAGCATTCTTTAATCTTAATAATCTACAGGACCAAGTTGTAAAATGGAGAGAAACGAGATCTTGGCATTGCGTTGCGTCGGAAGTTGTCGGAGTTGCAATTGGGTACGACTGGATTGAAAGCTGAATTGCAAGGGAGGTTGTTGACCTACTACGGTCTAAACAACGATGGTGAGTCAGAAACGGAGGATAATGGTGAAGATGGTGTATCAGTAACGTCCGCAGAAACCACTATAAATCGGCCAAACGCAGCAGGTTGGCATCAAGGACTAGGAAATGAAAGGCAGGGTAGATCATGGTTCACGTTGAAAGATGTAGAGGACAGTGTCTCGCAGTTTTCTGGGTCGAGTTCCCCAGATATAAACCAATGGATAGGAGAGTTGGAAGATTGTGCAGCTACAGTTGAGTGAAACCCTTTACAGTTGTTTGTGTATGCAAAACAGTTGCTTAGTGGAGCAGCAAAGATGTTTGTGCGTAGCCAGAGAAATATCAAAGACTGGGCAAGTTTGAAATCAGCTTTGTTGGAGGAGTTTGGAATCAAGTTATCCTCAGCAGAAGTTCATCGCAGGTTGGGAAAACGACAGCAGCATAAGGGTGAATCCTTGAGTTCCTTTATGCACTTATGGAAATTGCAAAGCCCATTTGTTTGGAGGAAGAAAGTTTGATCGAGTATTTCGTTGAGGGTATCCCAGATGTTAGATCAAATAAAGCAATGCTATACCAGGCCAGAAACCTCAAGGATCTAAAGCTACAAATCGACGCGTATCAAAACTCACGTGGATCTTTCAAACCAGTAAACTAGTATGGTTTACAGGGTAGCAAGGCTGTGCACGACACAAAACAAGATACGGTAGCTGGATCAGTTAGGAAATGTTTTCGGTGCGGAGATTCGTCGCACATGAAGGAAGACTGTCCCGTAAAGGAGAAATGTTTCAAATGCGATCAACCAGGACACCGAGCAGCGCAATGTAAAGCAGAAGTACAGGTCAAAATAGAGAGAGCAACCAATGTCGTCCAGGACGATAAAGTCGTTTCACAACCATCGCGTGAGCCCTTTTCTTCGAGCTTGGAATTGAAATCTGTGATTTGCAGGAATTCAGAATTCAAGGGACTTGTGGACACAGGTGCTGAACTGTGTTTGATGCGTAGGCGTGTATTCTTGAAGCTAGGTGTTGGAGTAGGCAGTCTGATGGGTCGTCAGAGAGTTTTGACAAGTATCGGAGAAAGTCAAGTGCTAACATTCGGAAGCTTCGTTACAAAGGTCGTTATCGATGGAATCGACATGCCAGTCGAGTTTCATGTCATACCTGATGATGATATGAAGTTTGAAGCAATCTTAGGCACAACAATCTTAAACAGCGTTGACATGATGGTAACCAAGTCTGGCACTATATTTTTGCCAAGAGTTCGAAGTGTTCAGCAAAGACCAACGACAGGATCAGACAACAATCAGGCAGGGCAAAGTACTTGTATGCAGCTAATTAGCGAATTCGAAAGTCTGTGCATGATCAGCACAAAAGACTCTAAGACAGTTTTAGATTTGGAGCACTTGAGTCAGGAAGTAGCTTCTGAAGTGGAATCATTAATCGAAAGTTACAAGCCAAAAAGTAATCTCACTTCACCAGTCGAGATGAAGATCTTGTTGACAGACGAGTTGCCTGTTTTCCAACATCCGAGACGATTAGCTTATTGCGATCAGAAAATTGTCGATGATCAGGTTCAAGAATGGCTAGAGGAAGGGATAATCAAGCCTAGTACATCCGAGTTTGCTTCGCCAGTGGTGCTTGTAGATAAGAAGAACGGGAAGAAGCGCTTGTGTTGCGATTACCGAAAGTTAAATGAAAAGATTGTCCGAGATAACTTCTGTGTGATCGAAAAGCTACAAGGTGGACAATTTTTTACAACTCTAGATTTGACTAATGGTTTCTTTCACGTGCCTGTTTCGCCAGAATCCCAAAAGTATACATCGTTCGTAACTCAGAGTGGTCAGTATGAGTTCCTGTTTGTACCCTTCGGTATAACAAACTCTCCAGCAGTGTTTACCAGGTTTATCATGCAGTTATGCGTGATTCGATTAAGAACGAGGACGCGGTTGTATACATGGACGATGTGATCATTACGAGCAAGAGTATCGATGAGGGCGTGCAGAAGTTGAAGCGAGTTTTGGAAGTGGCACAAGGAAATGGCTTGCGCATAAATTGGAGTAAATGTCAGGTGTTGAAGCGCAAAGTTAACTTCTTAGGCTATGTCGTTGAAAACGGTACCATCAAGCCAGGTAATGAGAAAACTCAAGCAGTTGCAGTTTTCCGATTCCGCGCGACAAGAAAGGAGTCCAAAGATTCTTAGGATTGACGTCATACTTCCGTAGGTTTGTGGAAGGATACGCCGTAATTGCCAAGCCGTTGTCCGACATGTTGCGCAAGGAGGTGAGATTCAAGTTTCAAGACCAGCAGTTAGCAGCATTCAAAAAGCTTAAAGAAGCGATGATCAGTGTACCAGTTCTGAAGCTCTATAATCATTCGTTTGACACAGAAATTCATACCGATGCATCCAAGTTCGGATTTGGAGCCGTTTTACTTCAACAAGATCCCTGTGATAACTTGTGGCATCCAGTTTTCTACATGAGCAGTAATACCAAGCCATGTGAGGAAAAGTATCATTCCTATGAATTGGAAGTACTTGCAGTTATCGGAGCCTTGGTAAAGTGGCGGGTGTACGTTCTAAGGAAAAAGTTTAAAATTATTACGGACTGTAACGCCTTTACCATGACCATGAAGAAGAAAGAGTTCCCGGTCTAGATGGGCGATGTACCTACAAGATTTCGACTACGAAATAGAACACAGGTCAGGTTCGAAGATGAGACATGTTGATGCGTTGAGTAGGGTGTGACAGGGTAACTGACAGTTTGTTTCATCGTTTGCGGGGAGCACAACTATTAGATGATTGGACAAAGGTGCTCAAAAGTGTCGTTGAGACCAAAGGCTATGAAGACTTCTACATAGTGAACGAAGTTCTGTTCAAGGATCCTAACAAAGAGTTGCTAGTAGTTCCTTCACTCATGGAAACCGAAATCATCCAGAACAGTCACAAGCAAGGACACTTCTCATCCAAGAAAACTCAGGATTTGATCGAGAAGTCGTCTTACATTCCGAAGCTAAAAGAGAAAGTAGCGCGAGTGGTCGATAGCTGCGTAGAGTGCATCCTTGTGAATGCGAAGGCTGGTAGGCAAGAAGGGTTCCTTACACCAATAGACAAAGGAGACAAGCCGCTCGTCACATACCATGTAGATCATGTTGGTCCGATGGAGCTAACCAAAAAACGATATAATCACATCTTCGTGATTGTAGATGCCTTTTCCAAATACGTATGGTTGTATCCTACACGAAGCACAGGGGTTGAAGAAGTAGTGACTTGTGTGGAGCGTCAGGCTGTTTGTTTTGGAAATCCGTATTGGATAGTGTCAGATCGTGGAGCTGCATTCACATCCCACCTGTTCAAGGAGTACTGCGATAGGGAGAAGATCCAACATTTGCTGATAGCAACAGGCGTACCAAGGGGAAACGGACAAGTAGAACGCATGCATAAAATAGTTGTTCCGATGCTCTCAAAACTAAGCCTTGAAAGCCCAGGGTGCTTAGGTAAGGTACAGCAGATCATAAACAACACTGAGCCAAGGAGTACCAAAGTTTCACCATTCAAACTGCTAACAGGATTAGATATGCGTATCTCAGGAGATGTCCAGCTCAAGACATTGATACAGAATTGTTTGATTTCAGAGTTAGATGATGAACGCGACAAACTGAGGAAGGAAGCAAGGGAAAACATTCAGAGTATCCAAGCGGAAAACAAGAAAGATTTTGATGCAAAAAGAAAGGTCGAAAAGAAGTTCCAGTTAAACGATTTGGTAGCCATTAAACGCACCCAGTATGGTACTGGTTTGAAATTGAAAGGAAAGTAGCTAGGGCCGTATAAAGTAGTCAGAGTAGGAAACCGTGAAAGATACGAAGTTGAAAGGGTAGGAGAAGGTGATGGGCCTTATAAGACATCAACCGTCACAGAGTACATGAAGGCATTCGGGACGAATCCTGCGTCAGGAGGGCCGATTGTGGGATGCGATACTGGAGAGACAAGGACCACTAGAAGCGGCTTCACCTACTGATCTAATATCTTTCCCTTTCTGTACTCGATGTTCCTGAGTAATACTCGATATTTCTAAGTTGTATTCGATACCCAGTTGCAACGTGAGTGAAAAGTGTCAACACACCGCCATACTCACTCGCTGCCAGAATCTCGCAAAGTACAGTTCATTAGCACACGAATATTTTTGTAAAACCTAAGTTAATCAGTCGAATGTGAATAAAGCATATCATCATACTATTTAAGTCAGAGTTATCTTTTCTAAAAAGAGGACCCTGCATATATATTTATAATTTTGATCTTTCCGATCGGAGGCATAATCTACACACCACAAGTGGCACATTCCACGCAATTTAACAAAATTAAAACACAAAGAATTAATTAAAATCCTAACATATACACACACACATACACACACATATATTAACTAAGGTTGTTGATAATATATCAAAATATCGATATATCGATAGTTTTTCTTAACATGATTTATATATATATCGTGATTTTGAGCTTGCCCAAATATCGCAATATCGATATTTTGTTTCATATTTTTTGGTACCAAAGTTTTTGGTATCAAAGTAAAACTTTGATTACTCTGAATTCCTAAGCGTTACCGGGTAGAAAATGAACATAATATTCAATTATACCGATATAAAAAACTGTACGGCAAAGTGCAAACTCTGCGAAAGAGTTATTAAAACAAGTGGAAACTCTATCAACTTGACTTCGCACCTCAAAAACAAAAATTCCGATGTTTTCGCAAAATGTGCGCAGAAGAAGGTACGTTTTTGTGCTCATATAATACTGGAATTTGACAACAGCCGCGTAAATCCATGTGGTTCTTAACATACATACTTTAATTCTTTTCAATTTTTAGTTGGCAACAAATATTGAAAAAGTTCCAACAATAAGCGAATCTTTCAAGAGTACTGAGGCTTTTAAAGGTAAGTGTGATTAAAAACCACTAGTTGTTTTGTAAAAAATGAAAACTTCTCATTATTTTTATTTTAGAAGACGGGTATAAGTCAAAGGAGATTGCTGACGCAATTGTATATATGATATGCAAGGACAACATACCAGTGCGATGCGTCGAAGAAGAAGGTTTCAGAGGAATGCTAAACAAATGTGTACCGCATTTCAAAATTCCTTGCAGAACCAAGGCAAGTATTAATACATTTTTATGTACTATTATACCATCACTAATATATGTATATTCTTTTTCCAGATTACAACAATGATTGAGGATAAATACAGGCAGTGTGTGGAAACAGTGAATGCAATGTTGAGCGCTGTGCCGGACGTAGCGTTTACCTGCGACGCAGTTACTGTTCCGAATTCAAGTCGCTCTTTTCTGACAGTCACTGCTCATTTCGTTTATAAAGAGTCTCTAAACACTATACGCCTTAATTCTACAAGAATGGATCAGGTTTCTTTAAATTTAAATATTTGTATTTTACATGTGTTTTGTCGTCCATTGTTTATCGTGTTTGTCTTGTGCTTTGTGGTTACTTGTTTCTCATTTACTTATCAAAAAACATTTTTTAAAAACATACTTCTTTGTCGCATACGTTAAATTTAGTCGCATACCAGTGAATATATTTGTACCTTGCTGGAAGAGGCGTGCGCGGAATTTTGTATAGACCGGGTCGAGTGGACCACTCTTACTACAGATAGCGCTAGTAACCGTGCGCCGCGAAACTTTTTTTGGGGCTTGGAAAGCATGTGCCGTGCCTCGCACACTGCATTAATTTGATCGTTGATTATACCATTAAAGATATTTATTCATTTACGAACATTATGGATAAAATAACGCGAATTGTTATGCATTTCAAGCATAGTACGTCTATGATGGACCAATTAAGAAAGGCACAAGCTGATGAGGGCATTGCGGAAGGAAAAATTAAGACTATTATCCAAAACGTAGATAAGCGATGGAATTCCTGCCAGGATATGATGGAATCCTTTTTGGGCTTAGCCAACAAAGTTGCAGTTATCTTAATTAACAAGTTACAACGTGTGAAGGGATTACCCGAAATGCTAAATGCTTTAGAGCTGAATATTTGCAGGGACTTGTATAGACTCTTCCAGCCGTACAAAACAGCGACAGAGCAGATAAGTGGTCAACAATACGTCACTGCAAGCCTAGTAATTCCACTAATACCGCTATTAGCAAATAGAACAAACAAATCGAGCTTGGAGACAGACAAGGGAAATCGAGCCAAGAAGGCGCTAGTTAAGATCTTCGAAAAAATAACTAACGAAATAACGTAAAACTAATTATTTAAGTTTAATATTATAAAATTTCAAACTTAGTTTAACATTAGAAAAACACATACTAATTATTTTAATTTTAAAAAATTTCAGATGTTGAGAAACAAGAAGATTATGACGATTTTATGAGCTCCCACAATTACTCAACTCAAAGGGACATGCACGATGACAATAAAGAGAACAAGGAGCTCAAGTTATACTTCAGCTTGCCGCAAGCAGCTTGGGAAAACAATCCTATGGAGATATGGAAACCTCATAAATCAACCATGCCAAGCCTTTATAAACTCGCCATGAGGTACCTTGTTACCCCGGGTAGCTCGGTACCTTCCGAGCAGTTGGCGTCCGCTATAAAATGCGTGGTGTGCGACTCCAGGAGCCGTATGACGGATGCACACATCACACAAAGAGTTTTCCTCAAATCGATGAAGTCGTCACATTGGAAATAAAATTAAAACATATATCAGTATCATTATATAAGTATTATTATAATTTCTATTATATCTGGAATATATTAACTGTATTATTATTAAGTTGAGAATATTTATGAACAATGAACAATTATCTGTACTATTATTATTATGTTAAGAATTTAATGAAGTATTATTATGATTAATTTGAGAATATGTATGAACTGCAAATTGAAAATTTAATGATTTATTATTACATTGAGAATATATATAAAGTATTATTAGTTTTAAACACTTATTGTTTTTTTGACTTGGGAAAAAAATAACTACAAAAAAATGTCAAATATATCGATATTTTTTAGTGATATTTTAAATAATATTATCATTTTTTATGATAAAAAAAATATCATCGATACGATATTTTTTTAAATATCTGACAACCCTATTTTCTTCCCTCTCCTCCATTAGATTACTAAGCAAACAAATGACGAAAAGTGAGAGGAAAATGCATCTATGTACAAACTGTTTTCAGAATTTCGACGATAGCAGCAAACTGAAAAAACATAGTATGGAGTGTAATAAATTATAACTGAGATGCCGTCAATAACAATTCGATGCTAAGATTTAAAAATTTTAAAAATCAATTAGATGCTCTTTTTGTCGTATATTATTATATTAGATATTAAAAGTTCGGATAACGTAAATCTAATTCAAAAGCATATAACGTACGCATATAGTTATTATATAATATGTTCATTTGATAATAACTTGGATATATATCGAATATATCATGGTGAAGATTGTGCATCGCATTTTATAGACAGCATGTATAGAGATTGTTTAAAGTTATATGAAAATCACTTAAAGATAAATATGCCGTTAAATCCGCTATCAGTCTAACAACTAGATTCAATTCACTCAGAACTAAATTTTAGTATATGTGGAAATTTTTTCACTGATAAATGCAAAAAAGTTTTAGATCGTCGCCACTTCACAGGTAAATATGTGGCTCATAACAATTGTAATATAAACTATAAATTGCGAAAAATATTCCCAATAATCTCTCAGCATACGATGGTCATTTATTTGTGAAAGAATTATCAAAAATTGATGGCGAAATATCCATATCAAAGAAAACTGTGATAAGCAAAAATGAATTTTTAGAACTTCGATTTTTAGATTCATTATACCCGTTATTCGTAGAGTAAAAGGGTATACTAGATTCGTCGGAAAGTATGTAACAGGCAGAAGGAAGCGTTTCCGACCCCATAAAGTATATATATTCTTGATCAGGATCACTAGCCGAGTCGATCTAGCCATGTCCGTCTGTCCGTCTGTCCGTCTGTCTGTCCGTCCGGATGAACGCTGAGATCTCGGAAACTATGGGAGCTAGGCTATTGAGATTTGGCGTGCAGATTCCTGAGCTTCTTACGCAGCGCAAGTTTGTTTCAGCAATGTGCCACGCCCACTCTTACGCCCACAAACCGCCCAAAACTGTCGCTCTTACAGTTTTGATGATAGATAGAAAATTTTAACTGAAATGTATTGATCTCATCAATACCTATCGATTGACCCAAAAAAAAGTTTGCCACGCCCACTTTAACGCCCACAAGCCGCGAAAACCTGTGACGCCCACAATGTTCATGCTAGATAAAAAAATTTAACTGAAATGTATTGGTCTCGTCAATACCTATCGATTGGTTCAAATAAAATTTGCCAGGCCCACTGTAACGCCCACAAATCGACCAAGTCTGTGACGCCCACAGTTTTCATGCAAGATAAAAAATGTTAACTAAAATGTATTGGTCTCGTCAATATTCTTTGTATTCTAGCATTAAAACTGTAGGAGCCACAGTTTTGGGCGGTTTGTGGGCGTAAGAGTGGGCGTCGCAAAGTGCTGAAACAAACTTGCGCTGCTGAAGAAGCTCAGGAATCTGCACGCCAAATCTTAATAATCTAGGCCCTATAGTGTCCGAGATCTCAGCGTTCATCCGGACGGACAGACACACGGACTGACAGACAGACGGACATGATTAGATCGACTCGGCTAGTGATCCCGATCAAGAATATATATACTTTATGGGGTCGAAAACGCTTCCTTCTGCCTGCTACATACTTTCCGACGAGTTTAGTATACCCTTTTACTCTACGAGTAACGGGTATAATTAGGAGTTAGGGCACTTATCGCAAACTTTAATTTTAGGAATGCATTACAATTTACCGATAATATGTTAGCAATACAAATGAAAAATGTGCATGTTCTTTATGATAAACCTGCCTATATTGGTTTCACCGTTCCAGAATTATCAAAATATAAGATGTACAGTTTTAACCATGACTATATAAAGCAGAATATACATCAGAATATGTTGAAGATAATGTTTTTAATTTACCATTGATAAACAAAAAACAAGAAAGGAAGTTAGCTTCGGCAAGCCGAGGCTTGTATACCCTTCCAGTTATAATTATTGAATTCGAAATTCTGAAAAATAAAAAAATTATATTCCCAATAGTATAAGATTATATGTTAAACAAGGAAGAACGCTATAGTCGAGTACCTCGACTATCAGATACCCGTTACTCAGCTATATGGAGATATGCAAGCAGCAAAGCGAGATTAAAATGCGCCACCTACCGGCGCTAGACAGATTTAAGCGTTATGGGCGTTAGAGTGGGCGTGGCAAATTTTTTTTTGGATTAATCGATAGGTATTGACGAGACCAATACATTTCAGTTAACAATTTTATCTTGCATGAAAACTGTGGGCGTCACAGGTTTGGGCGATTTGTGGGCGTTACAGTGGGCGTTGCAAACTATTTTTGGGTCAATCGATGTTAACAAGACTAATACATTTCAGTTCGAATTTTTTTCTAGCATGAAGTGGGCGTGGCAAACTTTTTTTTAAATCAATCGATAGGTATTAACAAGACTAATACATTTCAGTTAGAATTTTTTATCTAGCATAAAAATTGTGGGCACCACAGATTTGGGCGGCTTGTGGGCGTTAATGTGGGCGTGGCATCTTCGCGTAACAAACTGAAACTGCACAAGGCTACGGAATCTAGATCTGAAATCGCAATTCTCTATCGATTTGTACAAGGCTACGGAATCTAGATCTGAAATCGCAATTCTCTATCGATTTTTTTAAGTTTGTGGGCGGTTTGTGGGTGTTAAAGTGGGCGTGGCAAACTTTTTTTGAGTTTGTTACGTACGCCCTCCACATAGAAAGATTCACATAGAGAAACAACGACGAATCTTTAGCCAGGGGGAGGGGTGCATGTGACTAACCATACTCATACTGGTAAAGGCAGAAGAAAAAGCAATTCGGCAATTCTCGGGTGTCGCGTGGTCAGAACAACGGCCACTATCAACCTATTGGTAACCATACTCCGGTAGCTGGCAAAGGGCAACAGCCGGCCGTTGACTCCCAAGATAGCAGATATCAAGAAACAGTAATTCTAGGTGGGAACACCTAGTTTATCCGATCCATACCCGCAGCCAAGTAAAAGCTCTAGTCTGGTATAAAAGACCTTAGACAAATAGAGAAAGGGAGAGAATCCATTTGGGTGTCTTGCTGACGGAAGCCGGCAGCTTCGAGGGAAGGCGACTTTCCCTGGGGCAGTCGTCCATGGAGTCTTCTGCCACCAGGACCAGCCACCATATACAACAGTCCTTGAGGAGAACACAATTGCAGCTCGAAATAATCTTGTGCCGAACCAGCGCCGCTATTGTCATCAAAGAACGTGGAGAAGATCAACAATAAGGACGACATCCGACATACTGCGATGTTTGTGGACGCAGTATCCGTGATCTCCATGCTCCTGAAATTTGTTCAGCTGTAGGAACCATCCGTTCAGAGCGTAGCGACCAATAGCATACGTCGGAGAAAGTAGTGATGCAATATAAATGTGTTAATCGAGCCAACCAAAGCTAAAGTGATCTCATGCATAACCTAGGACCAATATCCTCAAATAATACAATTGGATAACAAGTGAAAATCAAGCACTCAAAAAGAGGCAAGATAAAAAGTAGCAAAAGGAAAGTCGCGTTTTTGCAGAGCTCCCGAAACAGTCCCTCAAAAAGTCTTTAAAATCTAGAAACATTAACAATTTCTATCGGACTATAAGCCGCCTGTGGTCTATGATCATTTAGCGTTCAAATCGTGCGTGTAATCTCCATACTTTTGTTTAAAAACACTTAAAACACATTTCTTTTGGTCGAAAGTGTAAAGATAAAAGAAAGGAAACATTCACGCACATATACTGCAGTGCACAAGGACTGAAAACTACCGAAAACACACTCAAATCAATAACTTATACAATTACACAAATCACTCAAAATTGATCAAAACAACAACAGTATGAGTGCATCAAAGCGACTAAGGAGTGAAAAGTCGAGTACCGAAATCAAGGTAGTTGCACGTCGGACACACAATTGCTGCAAGAAATTGATGCAAAATTCACGAGTCAACGGAAGGAAATCAACATGGAACTGTTGCAGCTGATCGACGATAAATTTGCGGAGCAAAGGGAGTCACTGGGTAGAGAGTATCGAGAGAGCGAGGCCCGCTTTCTCAACACTCTACAGGCTAAATTCGATGCAATGAACACCGAAATACACAACCTTACGAAACGAGTGCGAGAGCTGGAAACCGAGGCAAAAGAGGTGAATACACTGAAACAACAAGTGTGTGAACTGGATGCTCAACTGGCAGCAAAGTGCAATGCACAGGAGGTCGCGGATGTTGCATGCAACCTGCACTGGCATGGTGTACCGCACGTCGAG